TATGATGCTGGGGATAACAAATTCAAGAATGGCATCAGAAATATTCATTGTCCAAAAGAACATTTGAAGATCTCTATTGAAGTACAGTGCTGTCTGTGATAGGATGATAGCCATATGCCTACAAGGAAGACCAGTTAATACTACTATTATTCAACTGTACACAGCAACAACTAATGCCAGTTAAGATGAAATTGAAGAATTCTATCAACTCCTTCATTCTGAAATTGATCCAACATGCAATCAAGATGCATTAATAATTACTGGTGATTGGAATACAAAGTTGGAAACAAAAAGGAAAGATCCATAAGCTAAGAAAAAACACTGGGGATAGCATGGTAGAATTTTGCCAGACCAAAGACTTATTCATTGCAAATACCTTTTTAAACAACATAATAGGCAACTATACACCTGAACCTCACCAGATGAAATACACCAGAAATCAAATTGGCTGCATCTGTGGGAACAGACTGTGAAGAAGAAAAATACCAGCCAAAACAAGGCCAGGGACAGACTGCAGAACAGACTACTGCTGATATGCAGGTTCACACTGAATCTGAGAAAATGAAAACAAATCCATGACAGCCAAAATATGACCTTGAATATGTTCCACCTGAATTTAGAGACCATTTCCAGACCAGATTTTATTCATTAGAACAAACAAGTCTGTACTGGAAGAAGTACAGTCAGAATGTTCCTTAGAAGCAAAGATGGTGAGACTTCGTCTCTTGTACTTTGGACATATTATCAGGGATGGACCAGTCCCTGGAGAAAGACATCATGCTTGGAAAAGTGGAGGGTCAGAGAAAAAGATGAAGACCACCCAACAAGATAGACTGACACAGTGGCAGCAACAATGGAGTCAAATGTAGCAGTTCTGAGGATGGTTCAGGACTGGGATAGTGTTTTGTTCTGTTGTACATAGGGTTGCTATGAGTCAGAATCAACTTGATGGCCCTAAACATCAACTTTAGAGTCCTTGTGTGGCACCATAAGATGAGCACTTGACCTCAAGGTTAGTTTGAACCACAAGGTCAGTGGTTCAAACTCACCAGCTGCTCCTCAGAAACCCTATTCAGGGTTGCTATCAGTCGGAACTGACTCAGTGGCACTTAACAACAACAACAGCTGTATACTGGATTATCAAGAATGTAAAAGTTTTCCGGAGCATACAGCCTCATCTTTTTCCTAAGGAGCAGCTGGTGGGTTTGAACTGCTAACTTTATGGTTAGCAGCTTAATGCAGACACTGAAAAAATATGCTATAATGAATTTTGGGAAAGCAGGTTCTGGCACAGCATAAAACATGATTCTATTTATGTAAAATTACATGTGTGTATTTTTAGTAGTGCTGTCTAACAGAATGTTTACCAAAATGTTAAGGTTATATGAACTTGAATAGTTCTAAAATTTTTGTACTAAACTATTTGGTTTGGATTTTCTTACAAGAGCATATCAATTTTTTCAAAGTAAGATTACATTTTTAAAAGAAAAAGTAATAGCATTTAAATTTTTCGGGCCCAATGTTTTTGTCACTGGTGGTTGTGTGCCACCGAGTTGGTCATAGTGACCTTGTATAGGGTTTCCTAGCTTATAAATCTTTATGGGAGCAGAAAGCCTCATCTTTCTTCCGAGGAGTAACTGATGGATTTGAACTACTGACCTGTGGTTAGCAGCCCCTCTCATAATCCACTTTGCTATCAGGGATCCTTAATGTTATCGTTCATTGTTGTTATTAATTGCTGTGGAATTGGTTCCCACTCATAGAGACCCTATGTAAGGTTTCCAAGGAGCAGCTGGTGGGTTAGAACTGCCAACCTTGTGGTTCACAGTCTAGTGCTGATCCTACAGCACCACACCAGGAGTCCAGTCATATCACTAGTGAAATGAAAATGTTAATAAATAATACAAATTAATATTTAAAATAAGAGTGGAATATTTCCTGTTTTACCAAGTGCATTTTGAATATATGAAATTGATGGCATTGCTTTATTGCCATCTAAAATTTATTTATTTACTCCAAACAGGAGTTTTCCCTGTTGTTGTTGTTGTTATATGTCGTGGAGTCGGTTCCGACTCATAGCGACCCTGTACAGGGTTTCCAAGGCTGTAAATCTTTACGGGAGCAGAAAGCCTCATCTTTCTCCCGCGGAACGCTGGTAGTTTCGCATTGCTGACCTTGCGGTTCACAGTCCGATTCGCAACCACTACGCTACCAGAGCTCCCCTTTCTGGTGAAAGAGGATTGGGAATGATGGTGATAGGATTTTATGATTCAATTGTGAGTAATTGTTAGCAGGATTAATCATGATTGTCACAACTATAATTGTAGAAGATGTGTAACTAAAAGGGGGGAGTAGTTAATCTTTCATTTCAGGAACAGACCATCCCAGGATCATCAAGAAGGAAGAAGAGCAGGAGTGGAATACAAGATGCTACCCAAAAATGTAACAGCAGAGATGGTGGCAGAGGTGATGGCAATGGAGAGATAGAGTGTATCCTATTTCTTAACCTTGCAAAACTCTCAAACTCAAACTTACTGCCATGGGACTCTAGGCCCGTGGACTGAGAAAGGGTATATGCTTGTGGGCAGTAAACCGGCTTTCAAAATGTACCCTTTGAACATTTAAATGAATATACATATATATTTTTGTTTGTTTGTTTGTTTGTTTTGTATGTCTACATCAAATATATTTGCTTTGTTCATTTATGAAAAATAAGATGTAAAAGGGAAACCACAGGGTGGAAGCAGGGTAACTGTTACTGCGGGGAGAGGAGCGTAATCATTGTGACGAAACAAAATGTATGATTGGTGCAAAGTGAGAAAAAAAAAGGTACCCAGGTCCAGATTCTGTGTTTATGAAACCATCACAAAAGTTTTTAAAAGTTTAAAGTTTGGTTTTTGAAATTTGCAGATGCTTTAAAATGAAACTTTGATCTTCATTTGAACAACGCATGACAGTAAAAGGGTTAAACAGTTGAGGATTGTTCCATTATTCCCACAGGGAACATGAGAACTTCAAGGAACTATTAATCACACAAAAGAACTACCTTTCCTATGACAGAACAACTTTCAGGTTAAAAGGTAAGAAAGTAGTCTTTCTGGTTTATGTCCCAAGGGCATGTCCTAAAAGAAATAACTATGGAATCCCACTGAAAAACAGGAGTGACTGTTTGTACTCAACTGTCTCTTGCTTTGCCATTAAAGCCTATCTTCCCTCTCCCCTCAGAACAGATGGACTAGCCTGTTTGCAGGTAAGCGACTGAAACTCAGTTTTAATAAAAACTTCAATAGGATAAAATGTTCATGATTTTTACTGTAATGTATGTGCCTTATGCAAAGCTCATTATGAATCAGAATCAACTTGGTAGCAGTAAGTTTGAGTTTGGGAGTTATGCAAGGTTAAAAATCAGGATATGATAAAATTTTGCTCAGGAGAAAGTGTTTTCTTTTTAAAGTTAGTATTTTATATATTTTCTTCTTCATGATTGACAAATGTTTCTAAAAATCAAAAGATATTTGATAGACCATCATTCAGAAACAGGTGGGGAGATGGAAAGTCAAAGAATGTTAGCAACAATGACATTTTTGTATCACGTAAGTGAATGAGTCATTGTGTAAAAAGGTGTTAAAGAAATACAGATCGGAGCAGTACAATGCTTTATGCCAAAAATGTATTGTCATTCACTAAGGTTTGGTAGAAAAATTAGTACAAAAACGTAATGGTTTTATGCTTTGAACTAATTTGTCACTTTGGACATCATGGGATATGGAATTCACAACCTTAACAAAAAACCACTGCCTTTAGTATCTTTCCAAATGTTTTTGTATTTCAATTGAAGTACTTTTATTAATATTTAGAAATGTATGCATTGTCATCATTTTCCTAATGCACGTTTCTTAACAAAGACTTCAGCTTCAGAAATACGATTCATGAATGTATGTATGTGTGTACATATTGAGTCCTGGTGTGGGATTTAGCAACAATATATACATGCATATTGAGTCAGAACTGACTGGAAAGCACTTAACAAAACAACAACTCTCCACAAAGAAGTTGCCTTTCTAACTTGTGAACATGAATATCAGAAAACATATCAGATAACCCCCAATCTGAAGTTCTTCACAATTTCCCTGTAAATTACACATTTTATTGTTGGTTGAACCTAACAGGTATTGTATTCCATCTAGGTTACAAGCATGTTAACCAAATTTTCAGTCTTCTCAGAAGGCAGCTTGGGACCAGCCTTAACGAAAAATCCTTGGCCCTCAGAAGTCACCAGGATCCTGATTCTAGGTGTATGCAGCCACTGCAGTTAAGCTTTCACATTTTATTCATATTCAGTTTTAACTAATTTTCATGTTTTCTTTTCTTAGCAAAAAGTTTAAACAAGTGTTAAAAGTTTATGAACTCCAAAATGGTTTTCGAGTGAACCAGATTTCCATAACTTCAATTTAAAGAAAAAAGAGAGATGATTGAATAATCTGTAGACACAAGTTCCTTCAAAATCATACAGAAGTGTCCTCACAGAGTGATGTCTTGTTTCTGGTGAGACACAGCTTCCTGTTATCTGATGATTAGGTGACTAGATGATTGTTTTCCTCAGAAAGATTCTTGACTAGGATTTCCATTTGCCTTTGTATTTACTTTGTAAAAGGTGTCTGTGACTATTCACCTTCAGACAAAGAAGGAAAGCAGAGGAGAGAATTCACTTCTTCAAGGGGCATAAGGGATAAAGTATTGAAATAACCTGGCAAGTTTTCAGAAGAGACACTAGAAAGTCAAACACTTAACAGAGACTCAGCTGGACAGAAACAAAAGAAAAACCAATATGTAATCCAAGAGTGGCCTCATTTTTCTAGAAGGCGATCTTCCAGAAGAGTCCCAAGGAAGTTCTCTCTTAACAAAAGCCTCAACACTCCCGAGACTGTCCTAGACCCTGCTGATCCATGCTGGCTTCTGTCTGGAAATCAGACTTATTGCTAAGTCTTCACACCAGGGAAATGCATGTGGCCATGGCGACCGCAGATGTGATACTGCTCCTGAGTCTGGCGTGGACATCTGACTCTCTCTGTTCACCCACAATGTTTTACAGAAATTGCTGGATCCGTCGCTTTCCGGGTCTTATGGTGGACCTGGATGAGTCTCAGAAGCTGGGAGCACAGTTTCTGAAGTATTATTCTGAAAGCACTGGTCAGAAGTGCAGCAGAAGCTGTTGTCTCAGGAAGGATGGTAAGTACATACTTACGTTATCCATGAAGATCTAAGAAAGGAGTCTGAAGTGGAAGGCCTGTGAACCTTTGAAAAGAACTAGAGTTTTTGCTCTAGAGTGGGAGATAGCCAGAGAAAGACTCCGACTCTACTATACGGACTTAATGTTTTGCAGTTTGGGCCAGAATAGACTATAAATTTAGTAATGATCCCAGAATGTTATACAACCAACAAGTCACAGAGAATCCCTTTTCTTCAACAAAGTGCTAAATCTACCCGAATTAACTAACGATATTCTTCAATCCCCAAAATATATATGATTACAGAAATGTTTATCATAATTTCCTTTTCAAAATATCTTTGGGTGATGTTGGTACAAATTTTTTAAACGCTTTTGCTTAGGTTGGCCACGTGAGAAGTAATGGATGGGAATTTAGAATGTGATTCATATGCTTTGAAAGACATAGATATAGGTCAAGTAGAAAAAAAAAAATCCAAAATATCCAAATAAATTTGTCTCAATTCACATATGATCAAAACCGGCCATTAGGAAAACATTTCATTGTAGCCAAATTTCAGATTACAATTTTCTAAAGACTTCTTTCATTTATGTTTCCAGTTATTCCAAGATTTGAAAATTACTTGGAAATAAGAAAAGAACACAACCCTTTAGAAGGATTCTCTTGGTTGTTCCATACCTTTCCACAGATGGATATTCACTTAACAGCCAACGCTGTTACTCAGTTAGTTATACACATGTGATGATGTCTGGATGCTAAAAGGAGCTACTTGCAGAGTCTAAGCAAACGGTCAGGGAGGGGACCATGTGTTTTGAGAAGTTGTCATAGGCTAAGCCCTCAAATAGCAATCAGGCATGGGAAAGAGCAATTCATTTAATCAAGAAGAATCTTTATAAAAAGTTAGACAATATAGATTTTCACCTGCCAATGCTTTTCATTCGGGGAGTGGGGAGCGGGGGGGAGGGGGGCGCGGAGAGCAGCCAGGTTAGGAGGAAGTGGAAGAAGATGAATGCCTTTTCAGCATTCTCCCAGGTTGTGAATTTATCTGCCTCTAACAGTTCTAGTCCTGGTGTGGCGTTGTGCATTAATACGCCAGACTGCAAAGCCGTTTGAACTGCAAGGTTGGTGGTTCAACTTCACCAGCTGTTCCTCGGAAACCTTATACAGAGTTGCTATGGGTCGGAACTAACTCGACAACACTTAACAAGAGTCCTAGTGTGGCGCTGTAGAATACACACTGGACTGCAGTTCAAACCCACTAGTGTTGTTGCCATCGAGTCGGTACTGACTCATAGTGACCCAATGCATAACAGAACAAACACTGCCCAATCCTAGCTCCTCGGAAACCCTACACAGTGTTGCTGTGAGTCAGAACTGATTCAACAGCACTTAACAACAAACAATAACTCCATACTCAGGAGCTCTGGTAGCGTAGTGATTACGAGTCGGGCTGCCAACCTCAAGGTCAGCAGTTCAAAACTACCAGCTGTTCCGCGGGAGAAAGATGAGACTTTGTGCTCCCATAAAGATTTATAGCCTCGGAAATGCTGTGCAGGGTCACTATGAGTGGGAACCCACTCCACAGCACATAACAACAACAACAACAGGGCAGCTAGGGCTTCTGGACTGCCAGGGGTACTGTAAACACCCAGGACAATTCCATGTCTTGGACTGTCTTATTTCAGAAGAAAAGGTAGGTGGGCATAACCCAGTTTTCAGCTGGAAACTGGAACTTCAAATGCCATATTCCTGCAGTAGCTAAACTGCTCAGACCTGGGACTCTGAAATATACACAAAGTAGGTAAATCATGTCTTCAGGAATTATTCTCTACAATCCAGAAACAAAATGTCTTACACAGTAGTCCTCAGGGGGCGTATTTGTAATCTTTAATGTATTAGCAAGGAGTTCTGGTGGCTCAATGGTTCAAAGCTTGGCTATTAACTGAAAGGTTGACAGTTTTAACCCACCACTCACTCTGTCTGCTGGAGGGAGGTTGGGGGAAAACCTAATGATCTACTCCTGTGAATCCTGTTGTTGTTGCTAGGAACCCTAGAGTGGGTCCTGACTCAGAGACCCTCTGTGTAACAGAACCAAGCACTAGCTAGTTCATTGCCATCCTCACAATCATTAATAGGTTTGAGCCCATTGTTACTGTGACTGCAGTCCATCTCATTGAGGGTCTTCCTCTTTTTCATTGACCCTCTACGTTACCAAGCATGATACATCTGGACTACGGTGTTGGCAAAGAACACTGAAGACAGACAGTCCCTGCATTGTGAAAGGGATCCATTTGTAAGTGTGTCTGTCAGTCAGAGCTGGTGCAGACTGCTCTTACTGAACATTATTTTAGTGCCAGAAAAGGCTCTAAGTCTTTTCAGTGATTTAAAAGGTGCCTATGCAGCAAGTGAAGGTAATTGTGATGAGAATTTGTTGTGAGGGGCTGGTTCCATGGATCAAAGTGGGGGCAAATTTACATAACATTAAAGAGCAAGTGTGAGTTTGAAATCCTGGTGTGGCACTGCAGGATAAACACTTGACTGCTAACTGAAAGGTCAGCAGTTCCATTCTATCAGCAGCTCCTTGGAAACCCTAAATAGGGTGTCTGTGAGTTGGAGGCAACTCGAAGGCACTTAACAGCAACAAAGAGTTGTCCATTAATTAGACGTTCACAATCCAGGGCTGCTAGAAGAACAAACAAATCTGTTTTGGATAGAGTAGCCATAATGCTCCTAAGAAGCGTGGATGGTGAGATGTTATCATAAGTAGTTTGGATATGCTATTAGCAGGGACCAGTCTCTGCAGAACAGTTCTACTCTTGTCCAGTAGGGTCACTAGAAGTAGAAATTACACACAGCAACAGTATTTTAACAATGTATTATTGATCTGTCCTACCCTCTTTCTGGTAGCGTAGTGGTTACGAATCGGGCTGCGAACCTTAAGGCCAGCAGTTCTAAACTACCAGCCGCTCCGCGGGAGAAAGATGAGGCTTTCTGCTCCTGTAAAGATTTACAGCCTCGGAAACCCTGTACAGGGTCGCTATGGGTCAGAACCGACTCAAAGGCACTTAACAACAACAACAACCCTCTTTCTACTTTTGGGAAAATGGCAAGTGCAGAAGTATTGGGTGTCCCGGAAGTACCAGTGAGGTGTAGTTGCCCAAACTTCACTTTACACAGTTTCGGCTCTGCCGGCAGGAATTCCACACAGCTTTAGGCATGCTCTGAGGTCTGGGCGCCAGCCATATACTGTGTCTCCCTAATCTGATTTTATTAGAGAAATTGATATCTTTTGGCCAATGGAGATGCCGCACTGCAGTGGGAGGAGGAAAGTCTGTGCTGCATTTCCTGTAGACAGACTGAAGATTTACATCGAGCAAATCCAATGTAAGCTTTTCCAGAAATAACACAATGTTTTAGGGAGTAAAATTGCTTAGAAAAGTGGATGTATGAGCAAATGACGTGGCCCTCCACCAGTAGAATCCCAAATGCTACATCCTTGCTTATCCACTCTTCAAATGACCCCGATTTGGCTCTTTTTCTTCTGTGTTTTTTCACATGAGGGTAGTCATGGGTCTGGGGTAATGTTCACCTGGCCGGCTGCCCTTCCACCTCCTGGGCCTCACACAGGAGTGCAGCCATTACGCCTGTGATTTTCTCTTCTTCTGATAGAGCATTTATCCCATTCTTTTCTTATTTTTTCTGATGACCTTCAGCACCTTATCATTTTGGGAAGGCATTGCATAAAGTAACCTGATACATAAATCACCAGAGGTTTTGTTGCAAATTGACTTTTTCACTAACATAAACTACTGTGATTTGGAAATAATGAATGATTCCAAGTAATTCCATGTAGAATGGGATGAGTGAAATATTAAGAGAAAAATCAGTAGGTAGTTTCTTTTAAACAGGTATATTCCAAATTCACAAACACATAATTACAATAGTTCATAATGTTCTGCAAACTCTTGGAATGTAACCCTCCAATATACTTGTAGAACTCACATGGGAATCAAGACCATCTGCAGATCTCTGACTCTTTTCCTTACAGTTTCCTGTAACCTGGCTGTCTTCTACCATGATCCCATTCACGACAATACCAACTGCCTGCACGTTCACTGCCCCACACTGGAGAGCTGCATATTACAGCCTGGAACCAGTGCCATTTTGTACAACGTAACAGAAGGTAACCCTGTACCCACTTAATACTTTTGAAACATATTGGTGATGCTCTTGTAGATTCATATAGCCTAGACACTGACTGGCAAGAGCCAGGTATGAGGGTACTTCAGAAAGTTTGTGGAAAAATGGAATAGAAAGACAATGGAACTTTCCCACCAACTTTCTGAAACCCCCTCATGAGTCTCTACATTATTATTTTCCACTGAGTTTTTTCTGGGAAGGTTTTGGCATACAGGGCCAAAAACTAAAAATGATGAACTTGTTCCATGTGATAATAAATCATTGAATACGAGCTTAATCATTAGATTTCATTCAATATAAATTATTTCATTTAACCAAATGCCCTGAGCAAGAGCCAAAGCAGGCATTTCTACTATAGTGACTGATAATGCTAAGTAAATAACAAAGAAAATGCTCAGTGGCAGTTTTGAAGACTGCGGACCACAAAAACTCATACAAGAATTCTGCAGACATGAAGGTTAGGGGCTAGGGAACCTGTGATCACTTTTAAGCATACATCAGTATATCATTGGTTCCAAGATAACCCACTCAAGGTATAAATCAGTGGATCAGTAAATTGGAACTAAAATAAAAAAGGAGATAAATTTATCGATTTGTACTCATCGAACATATAATGCTCCTGGTTGTGCTCAACAGTACAGAATATCACAGCCATATCTCTGCCCTCAAGTTCATTATAATCCAGTTGGTGTGATGTCTTACAAATATGTAAGACAGATATTAATAATAATAAAGCGATACTGTCTCAAGCACAAATGCTCAAAAACAAGAGATGAGTGCAAGCTAAATTACTCAGTGGCGACTTCATAGAAAAAGACAAGGTAAGGAGTTCGATTCCAAGTTACGGGGAAGAAAACTGGTCTGGTTACAATAAGCACACATTTTGACTTGTAATGGAAATATTGCTAAGATAAGGTAGCGTCAGATAACAAAAGGGCTTGGGCAGAGTAAACTTTTGGATTGACTTTGTCAGAGATATTTAGTGAGAAAATGCCATATTTAAAGTGATATGAGTCTCGTTACCTCAGTCTAGTAAAAAGTATGTAAGATACAGGTTGCAAAACACATTCAGTGAGGCATTAGATCTAGGCAAGGTGATCTTGTAGTTTCAAGAAAGAGAAGGGATGGTTACCACAACATAGTGAAGAAAAATTGGATTGGACTTAGCTATGCTTTGGATGAATGAAATGAAGGAGAGAGAGGAATGAATGAAATAAAGGGAAAGGAGTCAAAAATCACTGAAGTATCCAGCATGGCTGATGGAAGAATGATGGAGTAGGCGGACAAAATAAGGCTTTGGGTTTACCGAGTTAGAAATATCATGAGATCCCAGGAAGAACTTCCAGTAGGCCACAGGAGAAATGACATCAGAGCTTAAGAAAGGACACGACTGGTAGCAGGAATTTTAGTGCCATCAATGTAGTGGTTGTGGAGTCCTGGTGTGGCGCTGTGGGTTAATGAGCCAGACTGCAAAGCCATTTGAACTGCAAGATCACCAGCTGCTCCTTCGAAACCCTATAATACAGAGTTGTTATGGGCGGAATCGACTCGACAGCACACAACAACAACAACAACGTAGCGGTGAGAGTGGATGAGGTAATCTTTTTGAGGGGAATGTAAAGAGAAAATAAATAATACAGCAGAAGACCGAGGACTGAAGACTATAGTAATCCCACAATTAAGCAAACAGTGAGCCAGCAAAAGAAAGAGAAGGGGGCTTGGGGGAAAAGGCCAACGAGTCAGGTCCACAGTGTGATGGAAGAAGAGCTTCAAGGAGAGACTGGCCAGAGGCTGTCTAGAGGACAGGGAGGCCAAAGCAGTCATCAATAATCAAGAAACAAGAAAACTATTAATTACCTCAGAAGAATATTTTTGAGAGTGGAGAGGATAGAAGCAAGCTTATAGAAGGCAAAAATCAAGTAACAGAAAAGAAATGAATGTTGATATATTTGGCAAAAATGAGAGAAGAAAAGCAGTGAAAGAAAAGGAGGAAATAGTGTGACTGCCAACAGGGACAGCTGGAAAGGTGTTGTTTTGTTGTGGTTTTGCCTTCTCTTTGAAAAGACACAGCTGAAGTCAGAGAGAAAGGAATTTATTAAAGGAGACAGAAAAAACTGATATCTAAGCCAGGACCTTCTGGCTTTGCTCATGATTTTGAATACAGTCACATGTCTCAAGCCCTATTTTGATTAATTTTATAAAAAAAAGCTACACAGTGCCTCAGCAGTATTGTAGCTGCAGCTCTTGCACTAATACCTGTTACTGTATATTGTGACAGACACAAAGCATTTCTACTTGATTTAGCCAAATTTTTTCATAATAGAAAGTGTCCCAGAAAGTGAAGAAATTCAAGGACAGCCAGTGGTTTTTAAGGCTTTCAGTAACAAGCAATGATAAAACAAAAACAAACCCCGTTGCCAGTAAGTTGATTCCAACTCATGAATAGAAATGCATGGGTTTTTTGTTTGTTTTTTTTGGTTTGTTTTTGGTTTTTAAATTGTGTTCTAGGTGAAAGTTTACACAGAAAATTAGGTTCCCATTTAACAATTTTTCACCCCACAATTGTTCAGTTGACACTGGTTACCATTTTCACAATGTGTCAGGAGGCTCCATAGGGTTTTCTTGGCTGTAATCTTTCTGGAAATAGACTACCTGAATTTTCTTCTGCAGTGTTGCTGGGTGTGTTTCAAGCACCAATTTTAGGTTAACAGGCAAACAAAAAACATTTGTACCACCCAGAACTCTCAGGAAAAATTCAAATGTAGCCAGTATGCCTTTAAGCCTCACAGAAGCGAGCAATGACAGATGCTGAAATTAGCTTACTTAGTTCAGTAACTAATAATAGCAAAGCCTAAGACTTCTTCGCACTGTGATTTAAGGTTCTTTCTTTGAAATGGGAAAACCAAAAAATGAATGATGCTTTATTTATCTTTCAGGTGTAGATCCAGATTTGCTGGTCTTTGAACAATTACCTTCCAAATATTTAAATGTTCGCTCTTCAGCCAATATGTGGGACAGGCTAAGGAATCTAAAAGCTATGAACTTTGGTAAACAACAGACTACAATGGTAAACCAAATTTCACCAATCACACCTCAAGATTTGGTTGTAAATACAAATAATACCAGCGATTCCAAGGAGTTAACCACAGATTCTTGGGCAAGATTCATTTCCATAAGTGACTCCATTACCACCAAGGTAAATACGGTGTCACCAAATACTGATTTCATCAACCCAGATAACAAGACCATTTCTCCTTTCCTTGTGCCCACAGACAAAAAACTTTCCCACATGCCTATTCCATCCCGACTCAATAGTAGCAAACAGTTACTGAACAAAACCAAGGGATACAACAGCAGAAACCACACCTCTGAGACTGAAGATGACACACCACATATGGCATCTGTGATTTCAAAGACGTGGCTGGTTCCTGTGGCACTTTGTATCTCTGTCATCTTTCTTTGCTGTTGTATTGTCACCTTGGTATCTGGATGCTATCGAAAACAACGGGGCCAGTATAAACCAGGACTGAGAAAGTCAGGGTCCAGGGAAATACATACATGCAACCCTCTGACAGAGAACTCGTAAAACAAGCATTGTAGAGAAAGTGTAAACTTTTAAGAGTGTCATTTTTAGTTTTGTGCTAAGGCAAAGTTTGATTGGAAAAAATTATACAGGATGCCCACTCCTAATTTCTAAAAATCAGTGATTGACAACTGCCTTTTTAAACTATTTCCATGTTTTGAGTAGTATACCTTCTGCCTGGCGTCCTGGTGAGGCACTGTGGGATTAAGTACCGGATCACATGGCTGATTTGAACCACAAGGTCAGCAGTTCAAGTTCACCAGCCACTCCTTGGAAATCCTAGCAGGGTCGTTATGTGTTGGGACTGATTCAATGGCACTTAGCAACAACACCTTTTGCCAACATTAAAAAATGCTGACTGTAGTGCAGTGAATTATTTAATATGTCCCTTTCAACCATGTCTCTGTAATTCCTACCAAATAACTTTATTTCATGATGGGTCCTGATAGGAGAAGGTGGGAGAAGATGCTGACAGGATTTTATTATGTCAGTGATTATTAACAGGGTTCCTTGTGATTGTAAAATCTTGGAACTCTAAGGAGGGTATAAAGTGCTCCATCTCAGAGGTAGGAACAGGGGAATCACACTACCACCAAGGAAGAGTCAGGAGTAGAGCATGTGCTTTGGACCCTGAGATCCCTGCACACTGTACTTCCTTGACCCAAGGACAGAATTCTGACACCAGAGGAGGAGCAGGAACAGGAGAGCTAAGAGCCAGAGCGTGAGACAGAATGGTGGGCTTCCAAGACCACACAGCAAGTAAAATGGAGAGTCTTTAGGCGGGAGGTTCACTTGTGGAGTGGGGTGGGGAGCTAGGTTTGCTGACCCACACAGCTAGGGCTAAGAACCTTTGGGCTGAGGCTTATAGCAGAGTGGAGTGCACTTTGGGCATTTACCAGCAGTCCTGAAAGAACTGTGTAAAACTGCTGGAGCAGGACATCAGCCAGGCCACGGGACCATGGGCCAGAGAGTCCTGCCTGTGGGCACAGCAGGTAAGAGGCTATCCTGAACAAAGATCCAAGCATTTTATGATCCTGAACTGTACCATGTTAACTTCCCTAATAAAGCTATAACTGTGAGTTCTGTGTGGCCATTGCAATGAATTGTGGAACCCAGCTGAGTCCAGTACTGTGGGCGGGACGGTTTAAAGAAGAATGGAGGGTAGACGCATGTCTGACCTCAGCCTCATAGGAATCAGCTTTGGGCTAATGGTGATTCTCCTGCCCATTTGTGAAGGTAGAGGTCAGATGCCATCCCTGTGACCCCACCCCCATACCTTTTTTGCACTGAATGGTTATTACTATTTAGCATTGTGTGAGAGATACAATTCTATGTGCTTTATGTGTGTAAATTCATGGAGTCCTTACAAATCCGAGTTGGGTATACTATTATTAACCATTACGGCAAAGAAATTAAATCCAAAGTCACACAGCCAGTAAGAGTAGAACCAGGACTTAAACATAGGTTGGTTCAAAAGTCCATGCTCGAAACCACTGCTTGCACTAAGAGCCTGTTTCTTTATTAAGCATGAAGAAAAGAAATAGAGAGGACAACACCGTAACATAATCAGATTTGTTTCCAAGTCAAGCTCAAATTATTGCCACATTTTAAAATTTTGTTGTTGAGCAAAATAGCATTATTAGTTACTGACTCAGTGAGCAAATGTCAAATTTTAAATCTAGTTTTCTATAATCGAATAATTCATCTTTCTCAATCCTAATCTCTCTACATCATTTTCTAAAGCTGAGGTGCTTTCCAATGCTTGTGGTAATGAGTTCTTGGTGTTTTCCATCCAATAAAGCTTGGGTATTTAAACTTATATCCTTCATATGTAGACGTTGTTTTCCCATGTGTAAATATTGCTGTGTGCCCTTAGATTCATTTCAGCTCACAGTGACCCTAGGGGACACAGGCTAATTGCCCATCAGGTTTCCTAGACTGCCATCTTTATAGGAACACATCACCAGGTCTGTTCTCCTGCTGAGCAGCTAGTGAGTTCTATCTGCCAACCTTTGGCTTAGCAGCTGAGCACTTCACCATTGCACCAGCAAGGTTCCTTGGGTAACAATCAGCTCTAGTTATTTCAGTGCCTAAAATATGTCCAAATCTTACATGACTTACCCTTTCAATCTGCTAACTTTGAACTATAGGAAACCATCATTCAAACTTCTAATGATCTTAAACTTTACGTCCTTAACCTCATCCCAGAACTTCTGAATCAAATGTACAATTCTATTAAGAAACAATGATCTCATGACCCAATCAATAACTAAGGATCAGGTTGCTACACCTTTGAAACTGAGAACGCTCCAATATTGCAACTACTACACCTTTTTAAAAAACATTCAGTAACTGCCAGTTATGAAATATCCATACTTGAAAGAAAATATGCAAAGAAAAAACTAAAGTACTAAAGTACCCTTCAATTAAGGAAAACAGGCTTGTTCTATTTCTTGTCTAAATGCTTGAGACACTTGTGTATTAGTTTGAAGTCACAAGTGACTGCGTATCAATACAGGAAACAGCATCCCCTAGAATCCTCTCTATAAGGTCAGTATGATAATGTTCACTGTAAATATAGCACTGACAGATTTTAAAAGCAAAAAACAAAAAACCTTTTGCCACCAAGTTAATTCCAAATCATGGCATCCCATATGTAACAGAGAACTGCCCATAGGGTTTTCTTGGCTGTCATCTTTACAAGGGCATACTGCCAGGCCACTCACGGGTCTGCTGGGTGAGTACAAGCCCACCAACCTTCAGCTGAGTAATTAAGCACAAACCTTTTGTGCCACCCAGGGATCCAAGGATAAACTGTGTTTTTAATTATTGTTATAATCATGGCAACTCTTAGTATATTTTTGCATCAGTTTTGTGAAATTCTTAAAACTCTTGATTGTACCATTAAGTCAAAGTCAATGGCAGCAGTCCAACAGTACTCCATCTGCTCCCTTCTGCACTGCGTGAGTCCCACGGGATGGACCACCTCAGCCTACCACAGGGTTCAAAACTATCACCTCTCCTTTGCTTCTACGTTTCCTTCTTCTTTTTTTTTTTTTTTTTTTTTGTGAATTGAGTGATACTTTACCTGGGAGAACATCATTTTTTTACATTCATCCTATGCTATTTCATTTCACTGTAATGATTACAATCCCCTCAGAGCATCATCATTCAACAGTATTTGCTTCTATTCCGTTTTTGTTTTTTGAGGGGTTTTTGGATGTACATATAAACACTCAGGAATACATAATCATTTAAACAACCAATGGGGACATTCTGCAAGCCTGCTTCCTGGCAGCACGTAGTCATTCTCTTTCCACGGGTCTAGAGTCTTCAAGTGCTCCTTCTCTCCATGTCCTCATCTCTGTCTCCATCTCTGGTGTTGCTGCTTCTCTGGATAGGGTCTCACATTCCACTCGTGCTCTTCTCCCTTGATGGTCCTACGGTCCTGTGTTTCTGTAAGATTAACTACTCCCCCTCTCCCTTTGTTAAAAAAAACTTCTACCTTTACAGTTGTGCCAATCGGAATTCATCATAATTACTCATAAGAATCTTAACCCCATCTCCTTTTACCAGACCCATCTAGACAAGGTGAAAACTATTCAGTGGGGATTCTACCTTTAAACTAAACCCCCTTTTGAAAACTTTTTGTAAGCCAGTTACTTCATGCCTTTATCACTCCCTCATTTTAGGTAGCCAGTGTCTAAGTTGCCCATCTTATCAACCCTGTGTACAGAGGGGATAGGACTGATCCTTGATAGGATTGCTTCCCTCTCAGCTGGTATTTTCAGAAAACATTTCCTTCTTTAATCTTGTTTCTTCCCTTTGAGTTTTCCTTAACTCCATATGGATCTCTAAATATACCGAGACATCCTGTTTGATCTACCCTGCCTTTTATTTGCTATGCCTTCCAATGGAATACAGCATTGCCCCTCTCTTCTTGTTTGTACTCGGGGTCATACTGTTGTACTTTACAACCACAGACCCTTGGCCTTACTAGAACCAAACTGTACCTTCAGTTTACATCAATCTTTCAGGCAACTGTTTTGAAATTTCTTATGGTTTTCATTTATGTTCTCTAAGTCTTTTGAGCAAACAACAAACTCTCAGTAATTCCTTTATATTGATTTAAAATTAATCTTATTGACAACTTCGGAAGTATCAAGGAATGACTGAGTCTTACAATATTGAACTGATAGCAATGTTGAAGGAATGTTTCTTAAGGCAATTCTTTTATTTCATGTGCTCCATTTATCTCCAACTTGAACTCCACTGAAGACCGTTACATCTCATCTCTTTCCTGGTTGAGGGCAGTTGTAACTAGAGCATCCAGAAGGAGGAATAAGGCTAGTTTTTACTGCCACTCTTTTGTAAGCTTTGGCTTGGCAACAAAACCCAGAAAATAGAATGCTAAAGCAGTGAAATCAACGTAAAGTGACACCAAACCAGAGGGATGGAAGAGACATTTTAAACTAGAAATTACCCGAGGCCCTATGTCTAACTAGAATTGGTAACTATAACCAATGGAATCAGGAGACCAAAGTTAAAAGACAATGAAAAGAGCACTGAACTTCAGGTCAGAGAACTGGGTACCAGTCATAGCCTCCCCAAAACAATATTTTTTATTGCTATTTAAAAGTAACCAATAAATGCTAATTTTGGGGGGAAAGCAAATATAGCAGGTGACAAAATAATAATCGTATTTATAAATAAATGTTCTTATGGTAGAAATAAACCAAAACAATTTGAACCAGGAGAAATCACAGACCTTCTGATTAATCCAAATGCCTACATGTATAAATAAGGAAACTTTTGAATAATCATTGGTACTGTACACTAGTATGAAAAGAAAACTCTGATGTTTACACTTTTTAACATTTTCAATTTTATAGCAAATTAGATATAGATTATATACACATCATAAGATTAACAAATCATGTTTTGTTTTGTTTTTAACTTCATGCCAAATTCAATAGTCTCTTCACTGATTCTTTGTACTGAGCAACAGTATTTTCATTTTCCCCCTCATTCTTAAGACGAACAACAGACTTTTTGTAATCTTCAACTTCTTCAGTACCAAGGAGCTCTTCTTTATTCACTCCCACATTCTTCTCAGCAGCTTTCATTTGGAGAAGCGTTTCCAGGATATTTCTTTCTGAGGAGCTATTTTTCCATACATATTCCTCCATGTCTGCTTCAGTCTTATTTTTCTCCCATTCCTCAGTTTTCTGAAAAAAAAAAAAAGTTCTGAATTATGCAAACCATTATCAAAAGAACAAAGTTGGCTTTCTTTTCTTTTTTTAATTGATTTTGGTGGTGGCGGCGGCAGTACCAAGAAGTTTGCAAAACTGGAGAGCCCTCAGTCAATAATTTATATCTACATCTTGATATATATCTTCCTTTTTCAGCACTAGTATCCATCCATCTGGGCCAACAGCTTCAGGGCTACACACTTTCACACTCCATTGTATAAACACTGAGATGCCAAGCTCTGCTAGAAGTCAGTAATTCTATCTATCTCTGTAACTTACACTTTATCTCCTCCAAATTTTCATTGTTTCCCAGAAGAAAGAGAAAACTCATTTCTTATAGCTTTTTATTTCCTACTCCTAAAACATCAACACTTAACAGTTTTTGAGGATAGAAATAATGAGAATTGAGACATAACTCTATTTACCTTTGCTAAGGTTGCCAACCTCAAGGTCAACAGCTTGAAACTACCAGCCATTCCATGGAAGAAAGATGAGGCTTTCTGCTCCTATAAAGATTTCCAGCCTTGGAAACCCTATGCAGGTCACTATGAGTTGGAACCAACTCCACGGCACATAAGCACCACCACCACCACCATATGCTTCATGGAGTCCTGATGTGGCCTGTGAATTATGGCGCTCAACTGAAATGTCGGTTTGAACCGCAAGGTCAGAGGTTGAAGCTTACTAGCTGCTCCTCAGAAATCCTATATTGGGCCACTATGAGCAGAAAACAACTTAATGGCACTTAACAGCAACAACAACATATGCCTTATGATGTGGTGCTATAGATCAGCATTGGACTGCTAACCGCCAGCTCGGCAGTTCAAAACACCCCGCTGCTCCTTGGAAACCCTGTAGAGGGTTGCTGATTCAGAATGGACTCAAAAGCACTTAACAACAACAACATATACCTTCAGGAATCTTGGTGTGGCACTATAGGATCAGCACTGGACTGCTGATCACAAAGTCTACAATTCAAATCTACCAGTCACTCCTCAGAAACCCTATACTGGGTCACTGTATGAATCAGACCCAAGTCAATGGCACTTAACAATAATAACATATGCTTTTAGGGATGTCAAAAGAGACTACTGTAATAAAATTAAAATACATCTGTAAGGGATTTTTAATCCTGGACTACATATATTATGTGATTTAAATTTTAGAAATTACATTATAATTTCCTATTCCCATAATTGGGGGAAAAAACATATCTATATAGATATATAGATATAGATAAAGATGGATAAATAGATATAGAAATATAGATATATAGATATAGATCAATCTAGATAGATAGATATAGATATGGATAGATAGAGAGAGATATAGATATAGATCTTTAGATATAGAGATATAGAGATAGATAGATAGATAGCTATATAGATATAGATAGATATATAGGTATCGATATAGATATAGAGATATAGAGATAGATATAGATAGATAGATATATAGATATAGATAGATATATATAGATATATAGGTATCGATA